GGGGGGGGCGAGGGTTGGGGTTCAAGCAAGAGTAAGGGAACAGGCAGGGTCAGCTGGTCCAGAGGGCGTGCGTGGCCGTGGCCCGAGTCACCTGTTCGGTGTTTATTTAAATGCACCGGTTCCTTTTGCCATATGACTTGAAGACCTTCCCTGGGCCCTGTCTTGAGCATCACGTGGGGACCGCAGTGACGGAGTCACTGGACACCTGTGACCCACCGGGACGTGGGGCTGTCATCAGACAGTGGTGGCCTAGCGCCGGAGGGGCTGGAAGGGGAAGCAGGGGTGGAGGGTGCAGGATGCTGGAGGCAGTGCAGGACAGTGAGGCCGCCTCCAGGTGGGGAGCACGGAGCGCCCGAGGGGGGCACAGAGATGCATAGGGAAGGGGGAGACTGAACAGAGGGAACAGCTTGCGCGGAAGCTCGAGGCGTGAGAAGCTGCGAGCCCTCCAGCGGGACCCCACCCCCAAGACCGGGCCCTGCCCTGCGGGGCTGGAGCGGCCACGCGCCTTGCACACGCCGCTCCTGGGTCTCCTCTGACAGCCGCGCAGGGCTGTGTGAGGAGTGATGAGGGCGCGCACGGCCCGTCCTTCCCCACGGTCAGCGGTGGCCGCTTGCGGTTCCCCGGGCGTCGCCCTTTACCGCCCGCATGCGGTCCTGCGCGCACTGCTCGTTCAGTGTGGCGGCCCCCGACCCCGCAGGAGCCTGTCCGGGGTCTCCACCGCCCCCGTGGTAGCGGCGCGGCTCATCCCGTGGTCAGCGGCGTTGAGTGGGCGCTCACGGTGTGCCGGGCACGGTTGTGGGCGCCGAGACAGGTGGCAGCCGTGTCCTCCTGAGGGCCACAGCCGGCAGGCTGGATACCAGCTGGGGCGAGCGGGGGCTGGGCGGCGGGGGGACCAGGGGAGCGGGGGCTGGGTCAGCAGACGGGAGGAGCCTGAGGCGGGAATGTGGGTGACTCCCAGGTAGAGGCCTCAGCGGCGTGAGTGCAGAGGTCACCGGTAGGGCCCAGGGAAGGCGGGTGGCCGGGGCAGCTGGGCTGGCAGGGACGGGGAGGTGCCGAGCTCCGAGGGCTTTGGGTGCCAAGGGGAGCTCTCTGCTGTCAGCGGGGGCCAGGCTCATCAGGACGACCTGCCGGACTCAGGGTCACAGGCCGAGAGTGGGGAGTGGGGCTGCGGCCATGGCCGGGGGTGAGCTGGCCAGCACTGCGGCAGGGGCCAGGGCTTGAAGGGTGGGCCTGGAGGTGGAGCGGGGTTGGGGGGAGGGGAATACTAGCCGATGGCAGAAGCAAAAGGCGAGGCAAAGGGGAGAAATGAAGAAGATGCTCAGGTCCGACCAGGTGGCTGCTCAACAGTGTCTGCACCAGTCGTGCACTTTAAAGACAGCGGGTGCTGCGGGCTCAGGCGTGCGCCGTGGGTGCTGACCCTCTGCACCCTGACCCCGTGAGGGCCGGCCTGTGTCGCCTCTGGTGACAGGTGGTGCCCTGAGGCTCGGAGCGAGGGCGCCCCCTCGGGTCACCCTGTGGGGAAGTGGGGAAGGTGGGCGGGCACACAGGGCTGGGTGGGCCTTCCAGAAGGGCTGTGCCCACACTCAGCCTGCTCCCCCCAGCACCACGCCCCACTCTGGCCGGAGCACGCCCAGCAGCTCCCCATCTCTCCGCAAGCGGCTGCAACTCTTGCCCTCCAGCCGCCCCCCGCCTGAGCCGGAACCAGGCGCCATGGTGGAGAAGGGGTCAGATAACGCCTCAGAGAAAGGGGGGGTGCCCGGGACCCCCAGCACCCAGAGCCTGGGCAGCCGGAACTTCATCCGCAACAGCAAGGTTGGTGTAAGCCCTGGTGGGGAGGCGGGCGGGAGGCCGGGGACCGGGGGCTTGTCTGACGCCGCTCCTTTCTCTTGCAGAAGATGCAGAGCTGGTACAGCGTAAGTGTCTGGCAGGGGGCTCACTGCGGGGCCGGGGGGTGGACAGGTGCCGCCATCCGCAGACCCCGGGTCACGTGCTGCGCTGTGTGGCCTCGAGCGAGTGGCTCAGCCTCTCTGGGCCTTTCCTTCCGCGACTGAAGGGAGCACTCCCAGGAGTCAGTGACGCTGGTGGGCACTCACGCAGGGCCTGCCGGGGTAGGACTCGGCCAGGCCCTGCCGTGTGCGGGTAGTGGAGGCCCGAAGTGCAACCTCAGAGAACCCGCCCGGGGCTGAAGAGACCGGGGGACGTCTGGGAGCCCTGTGGGGCAGACGTAGGGGCGCGAACCCCCGCCCAGGTTCTCACCTCCCAAACACATCCCCAGATGCTGAGCCCCACGTACAAACAGCGCAACGAGGACTTCCGGAAACTGTTCAGCAAACTCCCCGAAGCCGAGCGCCTCATCGTGGGTGAGTGCCCCCGGCGGCCCCGCTGGCCCTGGGCTCCAGCCAGGCCAGCCGGTGACTCCCTGTGTGCGTCTCTCCCGCCGCCTCAGATTACTCCTGTGCCTTGCAGCGCGAGATCCTCCTCCAGGGCCGCCTCTATCTCTCCGAGAACTGGATCTGCTTCTACAGCAACATCTTCCGCTGGGAGACCACAGTGAGCTGGAGGGGTGAGCGGGGCTGGGGTGGCAGGGCCGGGGCCCCCCTGACCCGCCTTTCGTCCTCAGATTTCCATCCAGCTGAAGGAAGTGACGTGTCTGAAGAAGGAAAAGACGGCCAAGCTGATCCCCAACGCCATCCAGATTTGCACGGAGAGCGAGAAGGTGGGTGGCAGCCGGGCCCCGGCGTCCTGCTCCCGAGCCTCCCTCCCTCTCTCGCCTTCCTTCTCTGCTCTCCCGGCCCCTGCCCGGGCCCAGGCCCCCCTCGCCTCTGAGCTGGACCCCACAGCCCGCAGCCTGGCCCCTGACACAGAAGCCCAGGGCTAGTTCCAATGGTAAAAGTCTTCCCTCCCGTGGACCTGGCATCTCAGGAGCCCTGTGTCCTTGGAAACCTCCCTGACACCCCATTCTTGTCCTCATGATTGTCCCCTCGGGCCCCCAAGATGGGTGCCTCACCGCAGTGGCCCTGACAGGGGTGGGGTTCACAGCAGGCTTCCTCTGAGCTTGGTTGGTCCAAAGGACACCGCCCCTAATGGGCCAAGGAGACTGGGAGGGAGGGCACCCTGTGCCCCCCCGCACCCTGACCCTGAGGGCAGACTCCGTGTGGAGTCTGTGCCCCACCCCGGCCCGGGCCACCTCCTCGTCATGGTCCCCGGCCTCCAGGCCAGGACGGGACAGCGTAGACCTCGTGACGTGAACGACGCACGAACACATGAGCAAAAGCCTGTGTGAGGACGGAGAGTCGGGGTGCAGTGTGGACGGGGCTGGCGCTTCCCTGCCCTCTGGCCCCCTCACACCCTCTCTCCCGCAGCATTTCTTCACCTCCTTCGGGGCCCGGGACCGCTGCTTCCTCCTCATCTTCCGCCTCTGGCAGAACGCGCTGCTGGAGAAGGTAGGCCTGGGCGGGGCGGGCCGTGGCTGCCTGAGCGCGCCCGAGGACCCAGCCGTCGCACCTCTGCTTCCTCCCTGGGCTCCACCCGGGGGCTGCACGGGCCTCGGGCCAGCCCCTTCCCCCACCGTTTGCTGGTCGAAAACGCCCTGAAAATTAGGCGGGTTTTGTGTATGTGGCAGCAGAACCTGGCCAGGCTGAGGTGTTCTGGGTGGTCGCTGCACTGTCAGATGGAATTTTCTGCCATGAGGGGTGTAGATGCCACCTGTGCTTCAAATCTGGGAGCAGGAGCCGTGAGAGGATTCGCCAGAGACCGAGTGGGGAGCAGAACAGGCAGTCTGATGAAGTCCACTGCTGAGGGGAGCAGCGGGCAGGTCAGGACAGGTCTGCTGTGCCCTGTGGGTCACCTCCAGGCCAGGGATCAACTTGTGCTGCAGTGGCTGTGGTGAGCGTTGTAGTGCTGCGCTTTAACCTGTTGCGCCACCGGGGAGGGCCTGTATCTCCCTTTTTAATTCATTTTCATTTGAATTATTGTAAGCTGAGCTGGCCACATGTGCTTCTTGTATAGGACAGGTCTCTAGATCTCAATGTGCCGGTATGTTTCAGGACAAAAAAATCTTAGATATCCCTGTAAGCCAGTGTGAAGTTAGAATCCAGAACATACGGTGATTCTCAAATGTCACTGTTTCAGGAATCTTCCCCGCCCCGAAACAATTTGCCAGTGCCCAAGAGCTTTTGTCTGAGTGGGTTATGTTTATCACTATTTGCCATCTTAGAAACTGAAGCTGGGGAAATTTCAAACACAAGGCTGCACAAGCACATTCCAGTAAGCAGCTCAGTGACTGCATCACTGTCACGGAGTCTCTGGAAAACTCCACCGCACACTCAGGGGAATGAAGGTGGAAACCAGCTCACATCACTAGAACAGTTTTCAAAGGAATGCAGTGATCTGACCTCGTGGACACCCAGAAGGACCCAGGGGACCTCCAGATTCCCTCGCGCAGACTTTGTTCACACGCTGTGCGGGGTCCTAGGAGAGTCTAGTTATTACTGGCATCGCAGCAGACACTGGTATCTTCCTTACCCCCTCGACTCTCCTGAATCCCATGTAGGAGCCCACACACATCCTCCTTCTGCACCCGCCCTCCCCGGGACTGAGAGATTTAGGAAACCAGTCCAGTGCCCGTGCTGGCTACTCCTGCGCCAGTGCGAACTCGATGTCGTACCTGTTAGACTTCGCACCATTGCATCGTCTTCCTGCGTGGGTCCCGCTTGGCCTCTCCCGGGATGCCCGCCCGGCTGAGCAAGGGGTGGCGACCCCAGCCAGGCAGTGGCGGAACCCGACACCGGGCCCTTGCAGAAGGAGGCAACAGGCCCCTCTGGGGTGGGCAGAGCCACCCACGAGGCAGTCCAGGGAGACTTCCGCGTGGCCACGGGCTTTATGTGGCAGAGCTGGGTCCGGCCCGTTGCAGCCAGGTGCTGGAGCCCACTGAACCACTAAAGCACACTGATAGCGCATAACCAGAGGTCCCGGGTGGGCTTGAGGGGCTCCCGGGTTCATCGAGGGCCCACGCTTTTGTCCACCCCTCTGCGTGTTGGTGGCCACCTGGTGCGAGGTGGTGGCTGCAGCCCCGGGGGTCTTGGCCTTGAACTTGCAGGAGGAGAGAAAGCAGGCACTCCCTTACCAGGCAGGGAGGAGCTTTTCTAAGCTTCTCTTGGCGTTTCTTCAGTTTCAAGAAACGGGTCACGTGGCCTCCCTTGGTTACGGGGCAGCTGGGCAAGATGAATCCGTGTGAACCAGTTATAATTCATCCCTTGGTGGGGGAAGATTTTGGCCCTGCACAAATCAGGGTTCTGTTGGCAGGGAGAGAGGACAGAGGTTGGGCGGGTGTCACGCAGTGTCCACTGGCCTCAGAAGACCAGCGCCTGCTCCTCAGGGGGCGTGTGGTGCAGAGCCTGCAGGCGGGACAGGGCAGCTCAGGGTCTCCAAGGAGCGTCAGCCGGGGAGGGGGCCAAGCTGAGAGCTGGGGTTGGACCACCAGCGCCACCTCTGAGCAGTGGCGGGCCTGGGAGGGTCGTGAGCGCCATGGCCCGATGGGGACCACCCTCACTTGGTGGCGCCCGGAGTGGGCCTAGAATGAGCGCGCAGGGATGCTGGCTCTCGGGGCCAGGGGGTCCGGCAGGTAGTGGGGGAGACCAGCCACCTCGCTCTGCCACTAAGCCTCGGGCAGGCCCCCAACTTCTGGGCCTCAGTATCATTGTCTTAAGCGATGAGGTGGCTTACAGAATTGCGTTAGCCCGAGGGGTGGAGGGACGCCTGGCCGTGGCAGCGGCTCGTGGCAGCGGCTCCTGGCAGCGGCTCCGTGGGTGGCGGGAGCTGCTCCCACCAGCGCTCTCACGGTGCAGCTCACCCGCTCTGCCAGCCGCTCTGACCGCGGTTGCAGAAAACTCCGGCTGCCGGGGGTTTGCATCCCAGCCCCCGCTGGTCACCTGGGCCTCTGTAGTCTCCGTACAAATGGGAATTTGCCCTTACTGGGTGGGGGGTTTGGGGAGTGGCGGGTGGGCGGTGTTGTGAGCTTTGGGTGAAGTCTGAGGGCGCCTGGCCGGGACCAGGATGGGGGCCGTGCTGCCCTCTAGTGGACGCCGGGCGCCCTGCTGAGACTCGGACTGGTCCTGTCTGCCCAGACGCTGAGCCCCCGCGAGCTCTGGCACCTGGTTCATCAGTGCTATGGCTCAGAGCTGGGCCTCACCAGCGAGGACGAGGACTACGTCTGCCCCTTGCAGCTGAACGGCCTGGGGTGAGTTAGGGGTTGACGCTGGTTCTTGGGGCTGGGGGAGATGTGAGGGGCCGTCTGCTGAGCTTCTGGGCCCTGGGTGGACTGAGGTGGGTGTCAGGGTCTGGGAGACCAGGGGGGCTGTGGGCTTTGTAGGATCCAGTGGTGGGCTTTCTCCACAGGACCCCCAAGGAAGTGGGCGATGTGATTGCCCTGAGTGACATCGCCCCCCCAGGGGCGGCCGACCGCAGCCAGGAGCCCAGCCCCGTGGGCTCACGTCACGGCCGCACCACCCCCAGCCTTTCCAGGGCCAGCAGCGATGCAGACCATGGGGTGAGCTGATGGGAAGAGCCAGAGGGAGGTGGACTGGTCTCACAAGAGGGCGAGATTGACAGATGGGGGTCAGGGGAGCCGAGGGGCAGAGGGGCTGAGAGAGGGTGGGGGGAGGTGGGAGTTAGAAGGGATGGGGAGAGAAAGGCCGGCAGGCAAATGGCATCAGGTAGGGAAAGAGACAGGCCGGGGGGGACAGATGGGTGCATGAGTGGGAGACAGACAGGCGTGGACAGGACTGCAGATGGACAGGCCAGGCCTAGAGACACTGAGCCAGGCTCCCACGACATGACGGGAGCCGGGCCGGGGGCTCCGCGGTGCCCAGCATGGGTTTCCTAGTCTCACCGTGGCAGTGTGGCCCGCGGGGACCCCAGGCCAGGGCGGTGGGGCAGAGCTGGACTGAGCGTCTCGCTGCAGGCAGAGGAGGACAAAGAGGAGCAGACAGACAGCCAGCCCGACGCCTCCTCCAGCCAGACAGTGACCCCCGTGGCCGAGCCCCCGAGCTCAGAGCCCACCCCGTCGGACGGGCCCGCCTGCCTGGGCCCCTCGGACCTGCTGCCCAGCGAGGAGCTGCTGACGGACACAAGTAACTCCTCCTCGTCGACCGGGGAGGAGGGTGAGTCGGGGTGCGGCTCGGGGGGCGGGGGGCCGCTGGGGCAGGCGGGCCGGGAGGTCCGCGGCGCTGTCAGGAGTCCAGCCGCCTTCCGCTCTGCTTCGAAGGTGGCTTAGCTGGGTGCAAAGGGCGCGGACTCTGAAGCCACGCTGCAGGGTTCAAGTCCTGCCACGCCGTGTCACTTGGGCAAGTGGCTTAACCTCCCGAGCCAGGCCCCCCTGCCCGTGGCTGGCCAGCAGTGGTGGCGGCGCCTCGACAAGCCGCTGGGGTGCTCGGCCCATTAGTCAGCGTTCGCTGTCTTTCCCTCTCCCCCCGCCCCCAACCCGTTTTCTCTATGGCGACTCCATTCTCGCAGGCTTCAGGTTCTGAGAGAGTCCCGGCCCTGCCCCCAAGCCCGGGGAGAGAAAGCAGTGTTTGCACCACACTCGCTAGGGGTGGCTCTCACTGGCCCTAGCTGGGGACAGGCCGTCTAGAGCCGGTCTCGGCTGCCGACTGGCCGGGCCTGCTCACTCCCCCGGCGCCGGCCCTGCCTGAAGGCCACAGGCCGCTGGCCCCCCCCCCGAGCGCCTTCCCCGATTCTGTGGCCGCATTTGGCTGCGCTCCGGGGTGTGCCCCGCTGTGAGCCCGTCCTGGCGGCTCCGAGGACAGGATGGCACCCAGCCCACCCCAAACCCAAGCCCACCCACCGGGCCACGGGCTCCCGGTCTGCGCCCACTCCTGCCCAGGGAGACGCGCCTGCCGCCCACCCCGAGGCCGGGAGTGGGGAGGAGAGGTCGGCGGCGGGACGGCAGGGTGCTCTGGGGAGGAGGGCTGTGGGGCCACCCGCTGCCGCTGTCTCCCAGCTGACCTGGCCGCCCTGCTCCCCGACCTCTCCGGCCGGCTCCTCATCAACGCCGTCTTCCACGTGGGCGCCGAGCGGCTGCAGCAGATGCTCTTCTCCGACTCGCCCTTCCTGCAGGGCTTCCTGCAGCAGTGCAAATTCACAGGTCAGGCAGCAGACGCCACCCAGGCACGGGTGGGCACGGGGGCCCGCTGGGGCCGACGAGGTGCGGGGGGTTCAGTGCAGCCCCCAGGAGGGAGCCCAGAGTGCTGAGCCTCTCAGTGGCGGTGAGCCCCTGTTTCTTCCTCCGTTTAATGGGGGTGCCATCAAAGTGCCTGCCTCATCGGTCTCACGAGGACTAACGAGCCAAGGCCAGAGAAACACCTAGAACACCCGCATTTAGTGAAAACGAGGTAGTGGTCACACAGTGAGCGCCACTCTGTCAGGCCAGTGCAGCGTCCGGGGCAGGTGAACTCCAGAAGCCAGTGAGGGCGGCGGGAAGTGGTCACACACATAAGTAGCGCACAGCACGGGGTGGTGTGAGTTAAGGGGTGGGGGACCCTGCATGTCAGAGGGGTGTCTGGAATGAGCAGGGTCAGGAAGCATGTGAAATGGAAACTCAGGGTACCCCCTCAGAGTGTTCGAGGGGGCTACAGGGCAGGACCAGACTTGGCTTGGAGAAGGGAGCCGCGCCCGGGGAGGCCAGTCGCCCCGGGGAGGCCCGAGGGCGCAGTGAGGACGGGCTCACCCAGTGCTGTGCCCCAGGGAACAGATGGGGAGGGAGTGCCCAGGGCTTTGGGGGCTTTTGGGGCACAGTGGGGTCACTCCTTGGATAAGGACCAAAGGAGAGATTTGGGGAGATGTGAGGCCAGAGTGGGGCCCCGAGGGTGCGAGGGGTGCAGAGGACTTCCGGGTGTGGAGCTCAGGGAGAAGCTAGGACTGTGCGACAGGAAGTGGACAGGCCCGGAGGGCGCCAGGAGGGCAAGAGGTGCAGGGGTGCAGAGCCCCCCGCCCCCCCCCCAGTGTCGCCGGCCTCCGCAGCTGTGTCTGGAATGAGAGTGGCGCAGACGCCGGAGGGACCCGGGGGGGGGGGCCACAGCCTGTGGGCCACCTGCCGGGCTGGTCTCCCTACTCTGCTCTTCCGCCCCAGACGTCACCTTGAGCCCCTGGAGTGGGGACAGCAAGTGCCACCAGCGCCGAGTGCTCACTTACACCATCCCCATCAGCAACCCGCTGGGCCCCAAGAGCGCCTCCGTGGTGGAGACTCAGGTGGGCCGGCGGGGTGGGCGCGGGGCTGGGCGCGGTGGGCGCGGCTGCTGGGCGGCCCTGACCGCGCCCTCCCTGCCCCGCAGACGCTCTTCCGCCGAGGCCCGCAGGCAGGCGGGTGTGTGGTGGACTCCGAGGTGCTGACACAGGGCATCCCCTACCAGGACTACTTCTACACCGCCCACCGCTACTGCATCCTGGGCCTGGCCCGGAACAAGGCCCGGCTCCGGTGAGCGGCGCCCCGCCCCCTGGCACCCTGCCCGCTCTCCCCAGGTGTCGGGAGCCCCGCGGAGGAGAAGCGTGGGTGGCGGCAGCGTGGGGGTGCCCCGAGTGGTTGGGCCTGAACCACTGCGCTAGCAGGATGGTGCTGCTGTTGGTCGGGTCGGGGACGGTGGGAGCAGTAGGTTTGGGGGACCGCCAGAGCCTCGTCTGGGATGCGTTAGGCTGTCTCCCCCTGCTCAAGACGGGGTGCAGGCCAGCCTGTGAGGCATCGACTCGAGTGGCGTGCTAGCGCGGCTGTGGGAGGCGAGGGGGCCCCGGGGAGCCACGGGGTGCATCTGCTGTCTGACTGGGGGAAGGCCAGCACCCCCCGGGCAGGGGCAGCCAGGCCGGCCAGGCCTCACCCCGCGCCGTGGCCCCCAGCGTGTCCTCGGAGATCCGCTACCGGAAGCAGCCCTGGAGCCTGGTGAAGTCGCTCATCGAGAAGAACTCCTGGAGCGGCATTGAGGACTACTTCCGCCAGCTGGGTAGGCCGGGCGC